TCTTTTTTTCTTTTTTAATTTTTAAAAAATTTTTAAAGTTTATTTATTGAGAGAGAGAGAGAGAGAGAGAGAGAGAGAGAGAGAGAACGTAAGGGAGGGGCAAAGAGAGAGGGAGAGAGAGAATCCCAAGCAGGCTCCACACCATCAGTGCAGAGCCCAATGCAGGGCTCGAATTCACAAACCTCGAGATCATAACCTGAGCTAAAATCAGGAGTCGGAGGCTCAACCGACTGGGCCACCCAGGCACCTACCATATTCTTTTTTTTGTTATAATCCACAATCGTACTGCATTCTCAACATGACCCATCAGCCAATACTGCCTCCTGGTAATAACCCCAAGGAGGGTTTTCCAAGGAGTCATTTCCAAAGGAGGGCCCGTGGGTGCTGGTGGTGGGACCTTTGCCGAGCTGGCAGAGCTGCAGGAGACCAGAGAAGCACCCGGGAGTCCCCCACCAGGAGTGGAGCCAGCAAACAGGGACCAGAGGGCTGATTCTATTTTGGATATACCCAGCACGGGTGGAGAATGTCTTGAGGTAGAGCAGTGTCTGAGGCGAGGGAGAGACCTGGCATGCACAGATGTGGGCGGGGGCCTCAGATCTGGGGGCTTCTACTGGAGGCAGGCAGGTGAAGCTTTTAGAAGACTTGGGGGGTTTTAAAGAAATCAGAGTTCTCCCCAGGCAAGGCGCCTATTACCCTCTGCCCCAGTTCCTCATCTGTGAAGCGGGGGCACCACAGTCCTACCTCCTGGGATGTCTATACGGCTTGATGGGAACTGCACTTGATATACAGCAGCCTTTACCAAGTCTTTCTTCGGCTGTAGTGTTCCCAGGGCAGATAAGAGCCCAGACCCTGCAGCTGCTAACGCTTGGGGTTGAATCCTGGCTCCGAGTCCAATCCTGGCTGTGCCTCCTTGCCTAGCACCGTCCACTTTCTGAGCCTCAGTGTCCTTGTCTGGAAAATGGGTTACAGAGCCGTGCCTGTCACTGTCCTAATCTGATTGGGAGGGCAGGAGACACCAGATTACCTAAATCCCTTTGGGCACTGAGTTCCAGGAGCAGGGATGAGAACCCGATGGTGTAAGCTTTATCCAACATATATCCAACTCAGTGTGCTTCCTGAGGTCAGCTGACATGGGAAGGACCCTATATCCTTAGGGTGTTTCAAAGACTCAGAGAGATGCCCAGATAAGGAACTTAGCACACAGCCTGGCTGAAAGTGTGCATTCACCATATGAGATACACTCGTATCTTTTGAATGAATGAATGAATGAATGAACGAAAGGACCAACGAACGAATGATGTGTGGAACCCTTTCCCCAGCTCCTTCCGGCAGAGAGGCAGGGGAGAAGCATCCAGCCCGCACCCTCCCTCACTCTGGCCCAGAAAGCATCGGTGCCATCTGCACCGGTTGGAGCAGCAGAAAGTGCCCACGGACAGGGGAGGAAAGACCATGTGAGGACAGGGGGGAAATGAGGTCCCGGCCATCAGGAAGGAAAGGCCCGGGGATACGGACTGGACACCCGTGAAATCCGGCCGATGACGCCACAGTGGCCTCCACCTCTAGTTCCCTGGCTGAACGCATCCCCCTCATAGTTTAAATTTAGGCTCAATGAAAGGAAGCTGGCAATGGCAAGAGGCAGTGCCGTGGAAAGGATAGAAGGTTTCCGGAAAATGTCAGTGAATAGCCAACATTTAGGCAGTGCTGACTGGGAGCACATCCAAGCGTGTGCTTGGATTTTAAGCGTGTGCTTAATACAGATATTAACTTGTTTTCTGTTCCCAGCCACCCTGAGAGAAGGCATGAGTCTCATCATCTCCGTTTCACAGAGGGGGAATTGAGGCCCAGAGAGGCGGAGTCATTTACCTAAGGTCACACAGCTAATAAGAGGCAGAGGCAGGATCTGAACCCTGGCAGTCTGCCCCCAGAGCCCCCACTCTTAACAGTAATAATAGTATTAATAATAGTAAGCATTTATTGAATGCCATCTATAGGTTAAGCACTGTTCTAAGGATTTTTGAAGCGGACTTATTTTTACAGCACTCCCAAAGAGGAGCTATTGTCATTATCAGCTTCTCACAGATGGAGAAACTCACACCCAGAGAAGATGAGTCACTTGCCCAAGGTTACACAGCTGGCAAGTGGCAGAGCCGGGACTTGAACCCGAGCCTTCTGGTTGCAAAGCCACGGCTCTTGGGCACCTACGGTCACCTGAATGACACAGGTGCCCCCTCAAGCCACACAGGGAGGCAGGGTGAGGGGGACCTCAAGGCCCACCTGAGGCTGGTTATTAAGAATCATGGTAACGATGATGACTCTAGGGAAGCTGCATGGTCCTATTTGCAGACCAGGCCCAGAGAGGCCAAGCCACTTGCTCAGGCTCACACAGCAGGCTTGGGGCGCCTCAGGCTGTCATGCCTCCCGAGCCTAGCCTTGACTGCCACCTAACCCTGCCTGGCACTTGCAGCCAACAGAGACATGGCATCCATCGTGTCGGAGATCATGATGTATGTGCTCATCGTGGTGTTGACCATATGGCTCGTGGCAGAGATGGTTTATTGCTACAAGAAGATCGCCGCGGCCACGGAGGCTGCTGCACAAGAGAATGCGTGAGTGGGGTCGGTAGGGAGGGGGGTCAGGCGACCCAGACCAGGGCTTCCCCGAGAGGGATGTTAGTTGTCAGAGATGGATAAGGTCAGGTCCCAGCCCCTTCCCCTCCCAGGACCCAGGAGTCTGGACCCCCAGACTCCTCTTCCCTCAGACTCAGGACTCCGGTCCCCAGCCTAGACTTCTTATGGATCCTGGGAGCCCAGCCTGCAGTCTCCTCCTCTCTCTAGCTCAGAACTCTGTACACCTGGGGCGGAGACCCCAACCCGCCTCAGTTTCCTGGGGGTGGGCCAGACTGATGATGGGGGTCGCTGTACATCTGGCCTTTGCCCCCACAGCTCGGAATACCTGGCCATCACCTCAGAAAGCAAAGAGAACTGTACGGGCGTCCAGGTGGCCGAATAGCCCTGGTAAGGTAGGTGGGTGGGCAGGGACCGCAGCGCCCAGGAGGGTGTCGCCCACTAGGTCCCTGATACCTGTCTCTCCCTCACCTTTAGGCCCTGGGCTCCACCTCAAGGAAGAGCCAGCCCTAAATGGGGAACATCTGGGCACAGCCTGCCCCCAGTGGGGGTTGGCCATTCCCGGGCCTCCACGAGCCTCAGAGTCCTGCCAACGGAGCCGCCAGGGTGGGAGGGGGCAGGGGGCTTGGCTCACACCCCCAATCCAGCCTACTTCCTCCTGCTCCATTGCCCACCCACGCCATGCATGATGGGTAAAGCAATACTGCCGCTGCCCCCACCCCTGCTTCTGCTGCCTGTTTGGGAGGGGGGGCGGTGAGGTGGGGGCAGCGGCTCCGCACCCCTCCTCCTTGCTGATTTGCACACACTGGCCGCTTCAGATGCACACTACTGGGGCCCAGCCCCTCCCTGCCCCAGCCCCCACCCGGTGGGGGGTCGTGATGGGCTGGCGCGGTTTGGGGCAGGGGGTTCTGGGGCCCACCCCGACCCCCAGCAACATTTCCCCTCCTTCCTCTGGCTGGACCTGGGGTCCCCTCTCCCTGTGATGCACTCTTGCCCCCGGCCCAACCCTGCCCTCTCTCACCAGCCTTGGATCGTGGCCACTTAGAAAGGGGCCCGTTCAGCCTCGTCTCTCTTCACACAAGTAGTTTTGTTCATGAAATAAAGATTCTTGGACTTGATTCATAGTCTTTCTCGTGAGCCCCGTCACCCTCTACACCCCTCAAATCCCAAAGCCTCAGTTCTCCTGGGGAGCCGCCCTCCCGGGCAGGCAGTGGGACCTCTCTGTGCATGTTCAGGGGTAAGGATGAGGAAGGAGCAGGTGGGTGGGTCTCGCCCTCCCCGGGGACAGCCACTTAGTACTGACTAGTTGGGGTTGGGGGGCCACTAGCTCAGTGGGGACCGTGAGTGGTATGGGAGGGTGGGGGAGGGCAGAGGGGAGCCATGGGTAGGGCAGGGGGCAGCAGGGCAGGGAAGGTGCTCTGGAGAGAAGAGAGGGAATGCAGCCATCTCTTCCCAGCAGTGTGGGTCTCTGCTGTGATGGGAGCTGGGGAGAGGGAGAGGGAGATGAGGGGCTGGGCAGCAGCGGGGCCCCACCAGCACGACCCCCTGTGAGAGGCTGTGGCTCTGAGTGGAGCCAGTGTGTGGGGCGAGCAGCTGTGGTCTGTGTTTGGGTGCATGGCTGTCCACAAGCAGGTGTCTGATGGTGACCCTTGCGTGTCTGGGTGTTTATCTGGCCCTGGGGTCTGACGTGGATCGCTCTTGGCTGCTGGCGGGACAGTGTGTATCTGCCTGTGGACACTTCCGGCCACTTGGCCTGGGCCTCAGCACTCAGTGCTGCCTTTTCCGGGCCAAGCCCCCCATCCCCCCTGTGTAGGACTTCCAGGCTCCAGAGGTCACTGCTGCAGGCAGCAGGGAAGCTGCCAAAGCAAACCAGCCCCCGTGACTTGTAGGAAGGCAGCTGGGGGGAGGGGGCCGGGGCCAGGGCTGGGGCAGGGACCCGGACTGCCTTGTTCAGGAGCTGCACATGGGGGGCAGGAAATGGCAGGGACAGTGGCAGGCTTGGGGCTGGGCAGGAGGTGCTAGAGGAAGCAGGGGAGGACAGGGAGGGAGTTAAGCCTGAGCTGGGGCAAGGTGGGGGGGGGGG